AAGAGGTTAGGAAGCCCGAGAAAAGGGCTGAAGATCATTTTGATGATTTTGAAGTTTTTTAAGGTTTGTGTTTTTATAAACTAACCAACCAAATTAAAAAAAAAAAAAAAAAAGTCTGTTCCTGTTCCTGTCGTGCCGATTGGGACTCCTAGTGACCCTATGGGATGGAGTGGAACTGCCCCACAGGGTTCCCAAGGCTGTCAGTCTTTACGGAGGCAGACCACCACCTCTTTCTCCCTGAAGCGGCTGGTGGGTACAAACCGGCCACCTATCGGTTGGCAGCCAAGCACTCTAACCACTGTGCCACCAGGGCTCCTTTATAAATCAACACCAACCAGCAATAATTTAAACAGTGTAGCCTACGTCACACTCACCCGTGTTCTGGACACAGTGCCACCATCCAGTCTTTGAAAAGGGTCTGGGAACTGAGTGAGGCTCTTCACCTTGGCTGCACAGGTACAGGGGTATGTCAGTAGGCACATGGGCAGAGATACTGGCTTAGGAAGGAGCATGTGCCCAGAAATTCAGAATAAAAAAAAAAAAACAAGCTGCCTACGTTTTGTGTGGTGGAAATTATGAAGACACGTCGTATTTGACCCATGTGAAAACTCTACCAAGTCAAAACCCTGATAACAACGGATTCGGACTTGACTGACACCGGGCGGAAAACCACCTCCAATAAGCATGCTGTGCAAAGCTCTGAAAGAGGTTGGTGGTGATTGGCACAGCGGTAAAATTCCCACCTTTCGTGCCAGAGACCCAGGTTCAGTTCCCAGCTAGTGCATCTCAGGTGCAGCTACCACCGGTCGTCCGTGGAGGCTTGTCCGTTGCTAGGATGCTGGCAGGTTCCAGTGGAGCGTGCAGACCAAGGAGGACCAGGAATAAAGGTCTGACAGTTAACTTCAGAGCAGCCAACAGAGGGCCTGTGCTCACAGGTCCGACAACTGGGATGGTGCACGACTGGGCAGTGTTCCGTCCTGTTGTGCGAGGGGTTGCCGCTGGGTGGGGCCCACTCTACACCAGCTCCCGACAGCAGAGGTCTGAAACACGGCTGCGGCTCAGGCCCTAATGGTAGCACCTTATCATCTGCCCAGATTTGTTTAGGACTAAATTTGTCCTTATGGAAGCAACTATTAATGCTTCTGGTAATTAGCCGTTTTTAAACCTAGGAGAATGGGGATGAGTCAGTCAGAACAGGGGCATCACTGGACTCACTTTGAAATGGGTATGTTTTCTGGTGGATTTTTTTTTTTTTTTTTAACTCATCATGAGCTCCAAAGCATTTGCCTCAAGACTTAAACCCATAAACCAAACCAGTTGCCACGAGTTGATTCCCACCCACGGCAACCCTGTGTCAGACTAGAACTGCACTCCAAAGGATTTCTAATCACCCGGCTTCCTCCTGAGGCACCTGAGTGGATGCCAACCTCCGACCTCTTGGCTGGTAGCCAAATACTTAAGTGCTACATTATTCCAGGACTCCCTGTCCCAAGACTCCAAAAGCAAAGCAAACTCACTGCCATCAAGTTCATTCTAATTTACAGCCACCCCCATAGGATCTTCAAGGCCGTTAAATCCTTACAGAACCAGACTACCTCATCCTTCTTCCAGTGGCTGGTGGGCTTGACCTGCCAACCTTTTGGTCAGCAGCCAAACTCCTTAACCACTGGGCCACCAGAGCTCCTTGGCCTAAGACCAGGCGGGACTTACTCCCAGCAGCCACTCTTCACAGTAGCACTCTTGGGCCAACTGTTTTAAGATATCGCCTCGGAAACCCAAGGAGGGGTCGCTGTGAGTCAGATCCAACTCAATGGCAGTGAGTTTGGTTTGTTTTTTTAATGGTGGTTCAAGAGGAGACGGGCCTTTTGCCGAGATACCAGCAGGAAGGAGCACTCCCCAAGCAGCCACCCACCCACAGCGGACACACAGGTTGTTGTTGTTATGTGCCGTCGAGTCGGCCCCAACTCATAGCGAACCCTCCTTGGGTTTCCGAGGCAATATCACTACGGAAGTAGGATTGCCCAACCTTCCTGCGGACACACAGGAGCCATGTTTAATTTTCACCCGACGGGCTGTGACAACTCATGGCAAGGGCCTGTGACTGTGACCCTTCCCAGAGGAACCTGGGCACCAGCCACCCACTCTGAGCTGTGGGCTGGCAGACCCCATCAAGGGGGCCCGGATGGGCTGCGTGGCTCAGGGACTGGAGACAGAGGAGCTGGATCACACGTGTTCTTGTTTATAAACCTGAGGGGAGAGTGGGTAGCAAGGGGAGGAGGCAAGGGAGCCAGTTCAGGAAGTTCCAGCCAGTTCACGGGGGCACTCAGGGGTCCTCTCTGAGATGACTGGAGCTGGGGATCGTGGTGCACATCTGTGATAACAGAGCCCAGGGTAACAGCAAGCGGTTGCTTAGGGGGGACACAGTGAGCCATGGGGAAGCAGTCACAAGGCTGAAGAACGGGGCCAGGATGATGGTGCGACTTTATCCAAGCATGCCTCCTGCGGGTGTGAGCGGAGGAGTGGCATGACCTGACTCAGCTCGGGATGTGAGGCCAGACTCAGACAGGGAGGTGTACACTCGGCGGGAAGCCACAGAGGTGATCCCACTACACCATCTCGTTTGCTTACGTCTCACCTCAACAAACAGGCCTTAAATGTGCATTTCCTGCTTCTCGTTTGCAAGTAAACTCATTTTACAAGGACACCATGACCCAACTGAGGTGTGCTCACGACACGGCTACAAAAGAGCAACATCACCCCACTGCAAAGCACCACTGCAGCTGTGCAATCCAACACGAGTCCCCCAGGAGCGGTGACACACAGGCGCCCAGGAGCCCCAGCTGGGAGGGGCGCTGGCCCCAGCACAGCAGGCCCAAGCTTCGTGGGCCAGCGGTCCAAGACAGGGCCCACGGCACCCTAGCCTGATCCCTGGGGGGCCCCATCCTCTCTCTGGGCTTCCAGCTTCCATCCATCCCGATCACCTCCTGGGGTCAAGAAGAAAAGTGAAGAACAGCTTCCTCAGTGCCACAGCCTCAGTCCCCTGCCCAGTCTCCAATGTCAAGGCAGAGGTCACATCCCAGGGCCCTCCCCAAGACACATACATTCCTCAGGCTGTCCTGCCCACCAAAGGGTCTCGGCTGAGTGACAGAAGCTGGCTAGAGCTCAGAGTATGGGACCAGCACCCACGTCATCTGGACCTGCTGTGTCTCGGTTACAAACAGCAGCCATCGGGATACACCACCTGATGCCTCCAAGCTCGGGTGAGTGCCCCACCGGTTCCTCTATTTCCCACCACATCTGAGTTGCGTTTTGGGTCTGTGATGGGGACGTTGATATGTTCTAAAACCCCATTCCCCTGCCCATGCCCCCACTTCAAAGGCTAGGAGGGGAGACAAACTGGAAATGAGAACCAGAGAGGGTCACACAGCACAGGGAGCTTTATTCGTCCGCTGTGGTCCAGGGCAACCGGAGGAGGTCAGTCAGCGCACGCGCATCTCATTTTAATATGGTGTCGTCTTGGGCTGTGGCGGTAAGAGGAAAACACACGCACGTTACTATCTCCCGAACCGGTTCAAAGAATCACTCCCCGTTCAGTTTTCAGTGATGCTGTATCTAGTGGTAACGAAGCCCCAACTATGCACTATTTAACCTGTCGCCTTTGGGTCTCCTTATCCCTGGACGCTCCGACTGAAATCTGCCCACAAAATCAGAGGGAGGATGCCGCTCACCCCAGGCCTCTCTCATTCCACACTTGTATCTGTTTGAGCCCCAAGGCCGTGGAGATGAGGGCCTCACAGGCCCACCCCACCAGCGGCACTCCCCACGGCCCACCTGCAGGGAGGAGGGCAGGACCTCTTCTCCAGGGTCACTCGGAACGGGGCTCAGTCGCCGAGGCCTCAGCGCTGAGTCGGGGGTGGGGGGGTGGCATGTCTAAGAGAGATGGGTGAGCAGGGTACCTTCTGCCAGTTCTCTGGCGATCCGTTTCAGTTCATCCTGCTTTTTCTTCTCCTCGGCTGCGACCCTCCTTTCCTCCTCCGCCCGAGGTTTGAGGTAACCTGTTGTTGGCGGGGACGGCAGGGGAGGGCACTTGCAGGTGCCGTCTTCACACAGGAATTTAGCCCACACACAGCCACACGCTGTGGCCGCCCTTATCAGAGCAAGGCCTGCTCTTCATCCCTAAACCCAGAGCCCGACTGGGACGCCAGGTGCTAGTCGGTCCCTCCCGCCCTTCACACCTGCCCCTGGAACCTCCAGCAGGCACCCCCTCAGCACTAATTTACAACCAAAGCCACCCACCTCCCAG